TCCCTTCTAGTATTAAAAAAGCATTACACGCCGAATGCGTGTCTCGTTGTGTGCCATCGCTATAAGGGATTAGGGTATACTAAACTTTATATAGGTTACACTAGTGTGAAGTTTAGGCGGTTCGTTTAACTATTATACGTGATATACGCTGTTTTTTTTTGGGGGGGGGATGAAAGTGTTCCAAAATGCGACATTAATTTCTTGACGACCTAATGTATAAGCACAATTTTTTTTACATCACAAAAAACAAGGGATTCAGCCGAACCCCCACCCCTGTGCGCGCATGTGTATCGATTAATAATAATGTATACGGGTGCCTTGAAGTTCATAATGTCACAAGTATTGAGGTACGCTGTTTACATTATGAAGATTGTTTATTTTTTGTAATGGAGTATGAAAAACTACATAGTTGTTATAGGTTTTCTCGGTGTTTAGACACAGCATAAAACTAACTAGTACTTTATGATTTATCTATCGTAACAAACTCTGACGAATTACAAAAACAAAAAGAGAACCGAGTCTTTCTTATATTCAAAATAGGACATGTTTGAAGCTGAACTTTGATTTGGACGTTACTTTTATATTTAATTTATTAGTCTTACCGATTCTTCAGCAAAAACAACAGCAAACAATTTTAAAAACATAACATATTAAATTATTTTGACATCGCATGACATATTATCGAAAGAAATAATTCATTTTACTGAATGGAATCAGTTCACGATTGACATGTAGTGGTTTGGGCGTGCGTGTAGAATAATTCTTAATGATTCAACGAAATATAAAAGTATCCTTTATGACTAAAAGAAATTGATTCTATATAGTATTGTGTCATCATACAAAAAATGATTGGGCTTAGATAGTGGTTAACGTGGTGGGGTGTAGATCCTTGAATCCATGGCTTGAGTTCCGGTACTGCAAAAAAAAAATGTTCTGTATTTTTGGGCCATGTGTGTGTTGTAGGAGAGACAGTTAAATCCCACTATTTGATTAAAGTAACTCAACTGTTGGCAGTAAATGTCGTTGAGTCGCTGCAACCTTATGTGAGAAAAGTTTATTCTATTTTGCTTCCCACAACTAATGAGTTATAAAAGATAAATAACATAATATGCGTCTTCCTAAGATGTTTTATACCTCATAAATAATTTGTCAATTTGAAAATATAAAAATTATTTATCAACAATAGAATTAAATATAAGAAAGTAGAGCGAGGTTTGACTCTGTGGTAAAGCTCTGAATTTAAGAGCTGGCGAGCCTCGTCGGAATCCATATGATAGCCTAAAATATTCCCTGCTCAGTAAAGTAACAGTCAATCATTTAGTGTGGATGGTGGGTGTTAAGGTGCAGCCGACTGGCAGTAGTTCAAAATTGGGGACGGCGACAAATAGCCCTAGTAGCTTTGTCATAAATACACAAATTGCACTACAAATAAAGAAAACTAATTATTACAGGTGAATGAATCATCTGTTTAAAAAATATTTGAGTGCGTTAAACATATCAGGGGGAACAATTAATTCCAAGTAAAGACACAATATATTAATATATGTTTGGTAAAAGTCACCTAAGTACTTTGTTTAAATGTGATTCGCCTACATTTATAATAATACAACAATTTGTATTTATTTTCATTATTAAATCTGTGACTTATTCAGTATGACAGAAGTCATAGTCAGTTAGGCACATTTCACAAGCTTTGAAAGATTTAATTAAAGGATCAATAGATTTGTTTGTTTGTAATTAAGCACAAAGCTACACAATGGGCTATCTGTGCTCTGCCCACCACGGGTATCGAAACCCGGATTCTAGCGTTGTAAGTCTGCAGACATACCGCTGTGCCATTGGGGGGCGGATCAATAGAAAAGTACAATATTAGCAACCTTTACAGCAGGCAAGATTACAGATTTTTAAAACGTTTCGACCAATAGTATCGGGGCATCATTGGGTAAGTTATATTAAATAAAAAGCAACTCTTACTTGATGATGACCCAATAATATGGATGAAACATTTTAATAATTGAAATAAGAATTTTCCTAATGTAAAAGTTGCTGTTATTGTATTTTTCAATAAATTAATTATTCAGTTCGGTAGGTTCCTCACTAAACGTTAAATAAAAGATTGCAGATTTGTTCACCAGATGGTCTTGTCACGTGACTGGGATTAAAACGGTGCATGTAATTTTAATGTCACTGTCAGGCCTACACTTAATATTTGGTTTAGATAGATTTATTGTTTAGGTTTTACATAATTAAGCTTAACAGTATGTATAGTTCGAAAGAATAGGTTTTGTTGAAATCGCATTTATTTTGTCTCACTAATTTTTAGCCAGCGCCTAGCGACACTAAAGTAATACTAAAAATATTATTTCTCACCCTGACCTGTTTGAAGCTGAACTTTGATTTGGACTTTACTTTTATATTTAATTTATTAGTCTTACCGATTCTTCAGCGAAAACAACGAACGGATCCAATTATTAACTTAAACATTTGTTAGTCCTATGGTTTCTATGCTGAGGTGTAAACAAATTTCATTGTTTGGTTCAAATATTTAGTTTTTACTAATTGTTCGCATTTCAATTCAAATAACATAAAATTAGATTGAAGTTTTCAAAATGTTTTTCCAAAAATCTCTACTGCTAGTGACGTCAAAACTGGCATTATTGGTATTAGTAATATTGGTCTCAAGCAGTGTAGGACTAGGAAACAAGGGAAAGTTGACACGAAAGGTAAGTGTAATTATTTGTTATTGAAATAGGGTTATAGAATAGTGTTAAAATATTTTCACACAAGTGCATGATAGATAAATTCTCTAACCTTTCAACACTTGTTGCAAGTTCCCCAAAATTACTGAAAAAGGCACTTGGTTACATGAAAACTACGTATGGTTTCTTTCGAAAAACATGTTAGTATATACAGTAGATGAAAAATGTAGATTGTTCACATGTATCAAAAAGTATGTAGGTGTAAATTCCAGATCCTGGGAGCTACATTTCATTTAGTTTTGACATTTGTTGAGTGACACCAACTCAAATGAGCCAAATGGCTTTTTGTTATGTTATTAAGATCAGTAAAAATAAAATACAGATTATCAAGAACAACTACAATTTGAAGAACATAAAAAAAGAGATTGTTAAAATATAACTTAAATTACTGGTACTATTAGAATAGTATCTTTTACAACAAACTACAACTGATAAAAGGCACTAAAATAAACTTTTGTTTTAACCAACAAACATTCACACATTTATAGTAGTAAATATGTTTAAACTGCAGTTTTTATATATATATATTTTTTAATTTTTTGGTCCTATCTTGCTGTTAGTGTTAGCTAAAACTTTAAAAATCCAAACAGTTTAAAACAGAAGTATCTAGCTTGGCATTTGGTTGATGAACCCACAGTTCCTTCTTACATTAAAAAAAAAATTATATATTAGTTTGTTAAACTCTAAGTTTCCATAAATTTATGTTATATTCAAAATAATATACTAGGTGTCCTGGAAAAAACTTGTATCCTAAGTTTTTGATTACAGTTTTGTGTAGCATAACACAGGCAGATATCTAAAGTACAAAAAAAACTAGAAACTGCATAGCTTCAGAACTTTGTAATCACCAATAGGGTAACAGAATGCATATAACCATTTAGATGTTTAGAAATGTAAAATTTTGTACTCAGGAAGATAGGATGTGGAAATTTGGACAAGACTTTTTTTATGTGAGAGGAACATTGATTTCATGAAGAAACAGAGAAAGATTTGGATATTGTTGATAAAATCCTAAATCCCTCTGGCAAGTGTTTAAATGTAAAAAGAGAAAATAGGATACTTGGTTCTATTTACTGGAATTTTGAAATTAGAAAAAGGTTATTGTAGCCTTGTACAATGTTCTGATGAGGTCTCATTTGGAATGTTTTTTACAGTTTTGATCCCTTTACCACAGGATTGCTACAAATATGGGTTACAGGAAAGATTCTTGGTTTAAGTCATTTAAAGTATTTAGAAAGGCTTAGAATTTTGGTCTTGTTTTCTTTATAGAAAATAAAGAAATCAAACAAGACTTGATTGAGGGTTTAGAATTGAGTATTATATTGTTTTTGAGTGAGTTGTATGTATGTGTGATGGAGGGAATATGCTCTGATTTTAAAAGATTGGTTTGACTGCACATTTTATATTTATTCTTAACTATTGTTAGGAAAATTACTGTTGAATTGTTTCAATGAACATTTGCTAGTATGTGATACTTTAAATTTATGGCAGATATAACTACTGGTGGTCAATACACTAAAGCTGTTTCCTACTACCCTAAACAATATCTTAAGGAACAAAAGTGTAGACATGGAAGTTTTAAAAAAGGTTGTAATAATTCATATTTTGTGAAACTTCTAAACCAATAACCTGTAACTAGAGTTATTGTTGAATTTCTCATAAAATTTAATTAATTTTGTGTGTAGTTTAAACCACCTCAATTAAGAAAAATGTGAGAGAGTGTATGATCTTTATCTATAAAATCCCATAATGATGAACATATACTATTGTATCTAATGAGCTGGAATTAGTAAATACTGAGGAAAAAAATCCCCCCCCCCCCAATAAGTTTGCTAAGCTTGTTCATGATAGTTGCTGCTTGGAAAAGCATGAAGTTGTTCATGAAATACTTTAATCTTTCTACTGTTGCATCTTCAAGACCTTTAACACTCTCTTCACATTCAATGGAATTGGTAATGATTATGCGTGGATTGACACTGATCCTCTCTCTTTGATAACACTCTTTGAGACCACTTATCATAATTAACAATTCCTTGGCCATAGCATTTTTAGCACTGGCAGTAAATCTGTATTTATATGGTGTTTTATGTATTTTTGGAATCCAAAATAATTTATGTATAACATTGTTTGATTCACTCAAACATACCTCGTAGTCTGATAAAACTGAAAAGTGTTTATTTATGATACTTCCTATATTAGTTAATAAACATGTTAAAACTGAAATAAGAAGTATCATAAATTAACACATTCATTTTTTTTATGTTATTATAAAATATACAGCATTTTAAAAATGAAAACAAAGTTGTTAGCTGCTTTATCTGTGGGAGTGATGACATCCCTACTATGTAAATAATCTAAATGATCTATAACTTCTTTACCTATGATGCTCATTGTTAATGATGTATTTCTTTAAGTATATTATGCATTTATTGATTTTGTTGTTAACTTTATTTACCCTGGTTCTAAATAGGATTATTGTAAAATTCTCTTTTTTTTTTTTTTTTTTTTTTTTTTTTT